ACTAGACCCATTATAAATACAAAGAATATCACCCTGGAAAATAAACAGACCGCTTTAGATACCAATACCCATAAAATAAAAAAATAGAAAAGAAAACCAACCATGTGGCATCCCCTTGTTAGTAAACAAAGGCAACGTGACACAAGAACCGCCGGCATTTCAACAGCTGAGAGTATGAAGTACACACCTACGGCCGATAAACAGGTTCCCAAAGCCACTAATGGGGGGAAAGAGGATAAGGTACGAGTCGATACGTGATTATTTTAACGTTTAAGGTGATTGTTTTGGTGGAATTAAGGGAGAGAAAAGAGATTTTGGTTGGAGATGTGGTTGGTCAGGCAGATGTCCAGGTGTGGAATGCGGGTTTGGGTTCACAGAGAGAGCAAAGGGATTCCTCGGTTCGCTTTTTCTCTCTTGGGATGGTGGGATGTGGAGAGTCTAGTTCGTGACACTTCCTTTCTTTTTAATGGGTGCAACTCTTCTTGTGCTCGGAGGGTAATTTAGAGAGATGGGAGGGCGAGTCTGATGTATGCTAATTAAGGCCTGGTCCAAATGTAACTTGACGGACGTACTATGAATTCACAGATCTATTGTTTTTATTACATTTTAAAGTTAGGTTTTGTATGTATGTATGTATGTTTTTTTTATATTATTATATTTTAATTCACTCTCTAAGATTATAGCTAGTGTTGGTACATGCTTAGAAGACCTCTGCATGTATGTCACTAGCTTTCAATCATATGACAGCCTTGTCACTTATTGGTTTACTGACAAAGATCAAGAAATCCCGAACCATGTATAATCTGGCAAAATAGATCTTGAAGACTAGCCAGATAATTTATCATCAGATAAGGAACCGGTCCAAGCTCGGTCTTGCCAGAATATATATCGTGGAGGTTTGTTTATCCTCTCCATGTTCAAGATTGCAATAGTGCAGTCTCTGAACATTATACATATATTGTTCTGTTTTAATGTTACTGGCCATCACAGATCATGCAGTTTTCAAAGGGTTTTGAATAGAACTGTTGAATTAAGAGAAAGTTCTGTTTTGAAAGCCACTGCAAGTGTCTTTTAAACATTTATATTGGGTGAAAACTTTCATACATAATGCTTATGTTATATATGATAAGTTGACATTATAAACTTTCTGTGTACATTTCCTTCATAAGAGCAGATTATGTGTACATTTCCTATGTAAGAGCAGATATTTATGTAATGGAAATTAAAAGAAGGGAATTTATAGATTTTATTGTCATTATGGTTGTTGTTGTTATAATTATTACTATTGTTATAGAACTGGATTCTGTGTACAAAAAATATAGAATAGTAGATAGAAGTCATCATTATTTGAAGTTCCACAAATAAAAAAATATTTTCCTTTCAGCAGTAATAGCATTTGACCATTACAGTTGAATTATTATTGATTATATTGATTAATGCAACTTTCTAATTTTTGTCTATGGAAGGCCATGAATTACTGATGCTTATTTTCATTGATTTCGGTCTATTTTGAATGTTAATACCAGATGGTGCCTCCATTTTAAGTAGTTAACAGTCATTGAAAACAAGAATTGGCTTCAGTCATCAATATGTACTGCTTTTTCTTGACAGGATAAAAAGACATCTTTTGCATTGAATCTCGTGTCCTGCTGAAATTTTTAACATGATGAATCTACATTATTTCAGACAGTGGTGGAAGGGAGTGGCAAGCTCGACTTTGGAGAGTATGAGCTTGAACTTTGGGATCTGAGGTGAATTTATATATACATACATTTTTTTTCTCAGTTTATTTTATCATTGTGTTTGTAAGGAGAATGTAACAGAAAGAGAAGCCATTTTAATAGATATTCAAAGATAATCCCAATAATTTGATGGGAATTAATTTCTCACATTATAGAGTATTAAACCTGTTCAACTTTTTACATAGAACTATTTAAAGATCAGATTGTGTATTGTCTGTCTGTTATGCAAGTTGCATTACTCATTCCATGAATACTACTTGCAGGTATAATTCTATGCTTCAAGGCCACGTCAAGAAAATGCAGGGTGGACGGAATAACAGTAAATCGTGGTTGTGCGATTGGCTCAGACCCATGTGCCTGCCAATCACAATCATCGTCACGCTGTCAATGCTGATTGTTGTCGTTGCCATTCTTGACGACAACGTGACAAACAACGAGGCCAAGCAGTTGAATTGTAATAAGTGCAGGTTGGTTCAATTTTTTTTTTTTTTTTCTGCAAATTGTAAATTTTTGTATTTTCCATATAATATAAGTATATGTGTATATTTATAATTATTCTTGTTTTTTTGTGTGTGTGGTAAATTTAATTTTTCTAACTTTTTGAATAGCCTAATTACTTAGAAATGAGTCATAGATAATGTATATATAAGAGATACATTATGTATGTACTTTGTTGAGTAGTGATAATGTTTATGTAGCTTAGAATGGTTTGCCAGAGACTTGTTGTGGTTAATGCAATAAATATTTTTATCAGCAGCATATTGATAAGATTATTTATGGAGCTTTGTAATGTAAATTTAAGTCACTTATTGAAGATTATATTTAGAAATCATGACCTCATACTATCAGTCATTGTCAAATTGTTTTATAAAGATTTCATTATTATTAGAAATCTAACTTGGTTTCTGAGAAATATTTATTTTCTTTGTAATGCAGTTTTCTATAATGTATGTTTTTTTTCCCATCCAGTTTCCAGTTGGTTGAGAGCATCCCAGAGAACCTAACATACACGCCTGGGAGTGTGCATTATCCAAGTATCTACAATGCATGGGTGACTCTTATCAACAATGCGGAAACCTCCATTGATATTGCGGCTTTTTATTGGACGCTCCTGTCGGATGATATTGAAAAGAAGCCTCATCCTTCTGCGTGGGAAGGGGAAGATATTTTGCATCGTCTTAATGTCACTGGTTAGTATGCTCATTAGGGTGAACAGCCAGCTAGTTACGTTTAAGGGTGTTGAGATTTGCCAATGATTTATCTGTTTGCAGAATTTGCAATTATTTTTTTTTAGATTCTTATCTTTACAATTACTGAAAGGGGAATGTAGATTTATGTATGTGTATGCATATTTATAGTGGATCTATAAACTCTAGAACAATGCCATAATGATTTGGATATTTTTGTTTTACTCACTATTGATTATATATAATGTTAACCACTGTGAGTTTAATTTTTCTCTTATTTCTACACATAGATGGCTTCACATGCTTGATCAACCAAAGTGTCAGTTACTAGTACTACCTATCTCATCTGTCTCCATTTCCTTGATTTTTGGAAATATAATTTTTTGTTTTAATTTCTATTAGTATTGTTGATATACTCACCATATTGTCAGTAATAATAATGATAACAACATTGATGGTAATAGCATGATAAAGGAAAACATTTTCCTCAAAAGCTCAAGGAAAGGGGAAATCAGGTGAGGTCATGAGGCCCACTAATAGACTCCTTGGTGGATGAACACTTGTGGAGCCATCTATGTGCAAATCTATTTAACAAAACAAAGTAACAGTGAACGTTATATATATTCCCAGCAGTAATGGTTTGATACCGTAATTTGATATAATCCGTTTTCTCTCCATTCAGGTCAGCGTCCGAATATAGCAATCAGAATAGCTCAGAACGCACCATCGAGAGTGTCTCCACAGCGTGATAGTGCAATGCTAGCAGAGGCTGGGGCAGCAGAGGTAATGTTTTGGGTTCATTCAATTGTTCAGATTTTACGTTATGATGATGGTATTGTTATTATTAGTAGTAGTATTGTTTTGTTTTATTTTTGTTGTTTATGTTATTGATGCTGTTGCTTTTTTTATATATGATAGTCTGGGGGTTTTATTTAATTTTATTTTTATTTCTTTATTTTTTTATCTATTATTATATATTATTTTCAATAGCTCTGTTATAAAAAGATAACTATTTACACTAGTGAAAGTATGTGAATTTCATTTATTGATTTTTTTACACATAGATGGCTCCAAAAGCACCTAATCACCAGTGTACCAATTACATGTACTACCTGTCTCACCTGTTTACCCTTTTCCTTGATGTTCAAAAATATTTTCTGGTATCTAATATTGCTGTTAGTAATGTCTATAATAAAAGTAATAGCATCGATATTGATAGTATTGGGGGGAAAAAAATTGCAAACTCAAGGAAAGGTGAAATCAGGTGAGGTCACAAGGTTTACTAAATGACTCCTTTGTGGCTAAGCACTTGTAGAGCCATCTATGTGCAGAAACATTTCACAGAACAATACTACAGTGAACAACATCTTCCTGGTGACTTTGAGGTTATACAGAAGCTCTGGTTTTTAGGAGAGTAACTGAGTTATAATATCAAAGATGTATGAATATAGACAGATTTCTAAATATATTGGTCTCTGCTGCTGAACATAGAAATTGTTTTAGATATATTGCTCTCTATTGCTGCTGTTAGTACATGAAAGTCATCTCCAGGTTCGAAGTGTGAATTTCTCGCACTTGATGGGTGCTGGCGTTCTGCATACGAAGATGTGGATTGTTGACGGCAAGCATATTTATCTCGGAAGTGCAAATATGGATTGGCGATCACTGACGCAGGTAAGCAGAAGTGCCTTGCCATGGATATGTTGATAATTTTGTTATATGCAGTGTTTTTTATTATCATTTTTGTTTCATATATATTGGATTTTATAGATTGTGGTGTTTTTGTATTGTTTATTTTATATTAATGTCTTTTGGATTTACAGGTCAAGGAAGTTGGTATCTTGATCACAAATTGCTCATGCTTGGCTGAAGACATGAGCAAGATCTTTGAGGTAACAGTGAGAGAAAAACGTGTTTGTTGTTTGATAAATTCACTGGAATTAACCCTTAACAGAATGAAACAATATCACTAGTACATGTGATTTTGAGCTCAAAATATATTTTGTCAGGTATACTGGCAGTTGGGCAAGAAAGGAGCTGAGATTCCTGCTGTTTGGCCTCGCGACTTGCA